GGAGGCAGAGGGGAGGGAGCGGAAGGGACAGGAGGGGCAGGAGGAGGGAGACAGGAGGGTAGGAGGGGAAGGGAGGAGGAGGGAGAGGGAGGGAGGAAAGGGTAGGGGGCCCCTGCCCTGCCCAAGCGGTTAGAACACTCCCGGCCTCTGGGTGTCCTGGGCTGGCCGAGGTGGCCTGGGGGTAGGCAGTGGCTCTTGTAGGACCGGCCTCTGGAACCCAAGGCAACGTCTTGGTCATTCCAGGTGGGCAGGGGAGGGCAGCCTCTGGCTGGGCTGGACCTCAGGAGGCCCTGGCCGTGCATGGGCCTCCCTCCCAGAGCTGCGTGGAACTGTGGGTTTCTCCGTGGACTGAGGGCTGAGGCAGCTTCTCAGTGACCAGTGCAGGGTCGGGCACAGCCGCTGCTCTGGGAGCATGTGGATGACGCCCAGCCCCGCCTGGCCCCCGGGGAGGCTTGGAGGCCCCCAGTGACGAGGAGCAAGGTGGTGGCGCCTCAGACCCAGGCTGGCCTGGCGTGGCGGGGCTGGGGCTGGGTGGGCCGGGCACTCCTGGGAACAGTGAGAACAGCGGCCACAGAGACCACCTCAGTGCCCGCTGCGTCCCAGGTGTGTGTGGCCACGGTCCCTGTCACAGCCGCCAGCAGGTGGGGTTGCCGTCATTCCCATTGCAGAGACAGACAGACCGGGGCCAGGAGGCTACAGCCGGGCCCACAAGGGGCGCAGCAAGTCTTTCACTCTGTTCCAGCCTGCTCATGGCCGTGGCCACCCTCCAGCTGGGGTCTGGGCTGTCAGGCCGTGGCCAGGGCATCCCCACCACCCCTGGACGCCCTGAGGTCCAGGGAGGCCTCCCACACGCTTGCGCAGCCATGTCTACAGGTGGGAAGCACGCGCTGTCCCTGCCCCACTGAGTCCTCCCAGGATGCAAGGCCGGCCTGCAGGGGCCTCCAGCCCACACCTCCCACCTCCCCGATGCCCACGGCCCGGCCCTCAAGACATCCAGTGGCAGCGGCCGGCCCAGCGTTCCCATCCTCTTCCTTCTGGAAGATCCCACAAGAGCGAAGGCCAGGAGAAAGCCTGGAGGCCAGACTTGCTCCAGCAACTTGTCCGCCCTCCATCCCCCACAGGCAGGCTCCGTACAACCCACAGTTGGAAGCCGCCTTCACTTGCTTGGGCCTCCCTCCAGGCGTCCGCCTCTGCCCAGCGGTGTTTTCCAAGGGGCTCACCGGCCTTCCTGGCCCCAGGCAGGGCAGGATGGGCATCAGCACTGCCTCCTTTCCACGCACCGCACCTCCACTTCCTCTTGGGGTGGTGGCCGTGGGCCTGCTGACATGTCACACGGCTATGCCTGTCACAGTCCTGAGACCTCACCGAGGGGTGGCTCGGCATCCACAGAGGAGGCCGGGTCCAGTTCCCTGCCGCCCTCAAGGTCCTGGTGCAGGGACGAGCCACATGGGCAGCTCCACAGGGCCTGAGGCGGCTCACGGGACGGTGGGTCCTCGCGTCTGCCTATGTGCATGCGGTGCATGTGTGTGTGTGGTGCAGAATGAGCCTGGAGACCCCAGGACAACCTCTTGGTGAGGCCCTCCCTGCCCCAGGCCTCACGTCCTCAGGTGGCATCAGGGCCAGGCTGGCAGCAGGGCGGGACCCTGGAGGTTGCCCCGGCTAGGCCGACAGAAAGGCAGGGTAAGGAAGGATGGAAAGACCGGCTCACAGTGCCTCGGAGGCAGGATGGGCCTGGAACATCTCCGTGCCGGGCGCCGCTGCAGCGTTCAGGCCTCTGCCAGCCCAGTGGGGTTGTAGGCGTCCACATGGCAGAGGAAGAAACTGAGGCCCAGAAATTTTCTCAAGTCCACTCACCTGGGGAGCTGTGGTGCCAGGAGTGATTCGGGCCACGGCCGCAGAGCCCAGGGCCCAGCCCTGACCACAGCCACTCGATCAGCCGTGGCTGGGCCATGATGCAGAGCCCTGGACTGGAGGGTTTGTGAAGGGCCCCGCCCCGGTGGCTCCATTTGGGTGGGTGCTGGAGCTTAGGCCTGGGGGCTGTGGGTGGTGAGGCCAGGCGCCCCGAGGGCAGGAAGTGGGAGGCAGAGGTGGCCTGGGCTGTGCGTCTTGCTTCTCTGAAGGGTCAGGAGGGTGTGTGGGACTCTCTGAAGTAGGGCCTGGAGTCCATGTGGCACAAGGGGGCCTTCCTGGCATCTATATGGTGGTGCCACCCATGAGTCGCCTGGCGTGGAGCTCCATTTGGGAGCAAAAGTGAGATCGAGGTGTTGCAAGGGATTGATTTCCTGGGTGCTATGCGGGGCTCCAGGGAAGCTTCCGGAATCTGGAGTGCAGCAGCTTCTGTGGAGGGTCCTGGCCCCGGAAGCGTGAGGCCAGTGGAGGGCCCTGGCCCACAAACACCCCTTGCCTCTCACTGATTACATCCAAGACTTGTCACTTCAACTTGCGGGTGATGCAGACGGGACCACCCTGCCAAGGCCACACGTGCTGGCGGCTGGTCATTGGGATGTCTGACTTTCAGAAAAGCCTCTTTGTGGCTACAGCAGTAACAGCCACTTGGGGTGCCAGGTGGTGGACGGGCAGTCCTGCACTTCTCTCACTTGAGTCTTGCATGCCGGTGTTCCTCCTCATTTTACAGATGGGACATCAGGACTTGGAGGCGACAGCTGGAGTCGGTCTCCTGGCAGGGCCATGGTGAGCCTGTCCCACTCTGCTGGCAGTGCCCTCACGCTGGCGGCCGGAGCAGTCCTGATGGGAGTGTTCATACCGCGGAGATAGGCAGGTGGACGCTCAGGGCCCTTTTCTCTGTCATCCTCAAGCCGACTCTCCACCCAGATCCTGTCCCCAAGGACAGGAGGCCTTCCCAGAGTGCACCCTGCTGCGGGAGTCCTGGGGGGAGCTGTGCCCGGTTGCACCCAAAGACTCTTGGCAGCTGCGTTGGGTCCTTCCGTGTCCGTGTTGGGACTCACCTGCAGTGACAAGGCTGGGCAAGCCGGACACTGTTTACATGGGGACATCACCCATGGGTCCCAGCTGCACTCGGCACCAGATGCACCGGTGGCCCCCACCCAAGACAAGTGCCACCCAAGTGCCACCGCTTCTGTGCTGTCGAGTAGGGACATAGTCACACGCTCTGGTGCTGGGGTCCCCGGCACCTGAAACATGAAGTGGCTTCATCACTCTGCACAGCCGGGGCCCCCTAGGAAAACCAGCCCAAACACCCCGTGGCAAGAAGGCTGAGTCTCCTAAAACCCTTGATTGCCACCCCAGACTGCCCACGACCCACCGCCCTCCGAGGAGGGGGCAGTCGGGCCTGCGTCGGGCGTGTGCACACGTGGGCGGCGCGGATGGAGTCAGGATCCCAGGCGAGTCTCGACCCGGCACGGACGGGCTGGCGAGTCTGGGTCACTCCTGCGCTCTCTGATCCTGCTTCCTCAGCAAAACCCTGGACGCCACTACCCACTGCATGCTCTGGGCTTGCCACTGAGGCAGGCAGCACTTCCAAGGCAGGCTGTGCCGGTGAGTGTGGGGTGGCCGAGTGGCTGCGTGGAAGGCCTGGGTGCCATCTACGTGACCCCACCCATCCCGAGGCACAGCCCTCTGTGGGTCACCTGGCGTGATGGCTGTGGCAATCCAAGTGGCTGTGCCGGGAGCCTTAGAGGACGAGGAGAGCAGGTGTGGGCATGGCTGTCCTGCGTGGAGGCACCACCTGGGGGTGTCGGCCCAGGTCGGAGCAACTATGGTGAGGTGAGTGGCCCGGGTCACAGTCACCCACTCCAGACTCACTTGGGGAGTGTATGCAGCTCTGGTGACTGAGGCCAGCGAGCACGATTCTGGGCTGACTGGTCTGTTCGGGCTGGGAGGCAGCTCCTGCCAAGGCCCCTGGTGGCTCTAAGGCACCCAGGCCACCATTCCGGGATCCCAGAGAGAAAGGGACCCACTTGGGCCAACCACTGGCTCACAGTGGGGCTGGGGTGTGGACATGGGACACGCTGTCTTCAGCCCTGGGGTTCTCGGGTTCCGGGACAGGGCACAGCACCCGCAGTGGAAGACCCAAGGCTGGGCGACCAAGCGGGCGTTGGTCCACACCATCCTCCAGCCTCCGAACCCTCCTGCTGGCACACAGAGGCAGAGGACCCCACCGAGACGCCCAGATAGCCGGGTCCTTCTTGGGCTCACGCGGTAAAACTGGGCTCCAAAGGCCAGAGGGGGTCAAGGGGTCAGGTGCTGGGCCTGCTTAATCCTGTGTGTGCTGTAGGGGCGGTGGCTTCTGGGGGGGAGGTGGTAGGTGTCTAGGTGGCCTGCAGGCTGACCGGCACTATGCTCCCCTCTGCAGGTGCATCGGGTAGGCCCACACTGAGCGAACTGCGCCATGGACAGTGGCTGAGTTGGCTTCAGCCCCTCGTGTTGGAGCGCAAATGCAAGTGGGAAGAGGGTCCCACCCTGCTGCGTTCCCTCAGCTCTTGGCCTCAGCTTCCCCCTTGGTGCACTTGGTGTGGACTGGGGGAACCAGGGGGCTTTAAGGCCCCTCAGGCCCTGACGACTAAGTCCAGGCAGCTCCCAGCTGGTGGCGGAGCAGCCTTGCCCGAGCCTGGACCACAGACATGCCTAGTGACAGGACACCCAGCCCTGTCTGTGACGCGTCTAGCCACACAGAGTTGCCCTGGCCCCGAGGGCCCTGCCATCATCTGGGGGGGAGGGAGGGGCACACGGCCCCCACGGGAGCTGCTGGGGTGGGGCTGGGCGTGTGGGGCCCCCAGCGGCTAGTGGCTGCAACCAACATGCAGGCCAGAGTCCCACGGGAACGCCTGTTCCCCATGGAGGAGCCCGAAGGGAAATGCTGGGCATGACACCCACATGCACACATGCACACACACAACACTAGTGTCAGGAAAATCAGCCAAGAGGTGTTTAATCCTAAAACTCGAGAAGACTCGGAGACAAGGCCTCGAGGAGGGGCGTGAGTGCCGCGGACGCCAACGCCCCTGCAACGTGGCTGCGTCACAACCTGGGAGTTCCCTGCTTTCAGTCAAGACGCACAGGACAGAGGGCAGCAGCACGCGCGGGGGATCTGGGCTCAGTCACGGCTACAGTGGGAGTCGTGCGGCCTGGACGTGGGGAGATGCTGTGTGGGCGAAGCGCTGCTGCGGAGATGGTCCGCGGCTTCTGGAAGCCTCCAGGTGCGGGTATTGCCACGCATGTGGCCGGAGCCAGCTGGCCCTCGAGACGGGGCTTCCTAGAGCTTGCCGTTGGCAAAGGCCGCCTCCTGGAACTGGGGCACGAAGGTTCTGAAATATGCCCTGGTGGAAAGAGGGAGACACGGGTTAACGCGAACCACCCAGTAGAAACTGGGGCCTCCGCTCGGCCGGAGCCACCACGACAGGCCTTGCGTTGCCCTGTGCCCAGCCCAAGGGCCTTTCCAAGGAGGTGCGGGCAGGGGCTCCAACATCCCTTGGGCACTCGAGGGCCTCATGCAGACCCATGGGCCACCAGCTGCCTCCAGCTGGCCACCTGTGCCGCCACCAAGCCCCACCTGGCCCTGCTGCTGCACCCACGGGTGTCAGGAAGGCTACAGTTTCCTCTGTGGGTGCTCTGACTTCACAAGGACAAGGGTGTAGCCAGGACCTAAGTGACCGTGGTCTCTGTCATCTTCAAACACCGTGTGTCCTGGGTGCTGTTGGAGGCCAGTGGCAGGGCCTGGGTGGCCACGTAGCCACGCAGCACCGTGTGATGGGGCCAGCCATGGACCCGCCATGCAGACATCACAGGTTAGAGGAGACAGATGCGCACCCATGGAGGCCCCGTGGCACCGTGGGGGCTGTCAGTGGGGGTGGAGGGGGTGTCACCAGCAGAGGCTGCCGTGAGCTGGGAACCAGCCCAGTCGGGCAGGGTGAGGTGGGTGGCGCGGGCCCCGCGCCTCCCAACACAGGGCTGCTTCTCTTGTCTGGATGATGCCCCAAGCGCACGGGGCTCCGTCACTGTCCTGACCAGGGCCCGCGTGTCCACGACTCAGCCTGGCACTCAATGACTCACCACCTGGCTCCAACACTTTAGGGAAACCTGCCCTGCCACCCCCCCCCAGGCTTTGGGATCTGAACCACGAGAAGTTGAGAAGGCCAAGGCTTCTCCCCTGTGTCACACTGCAGGCGAGACCTTATGACCTGCTGCTGGGGGACATCGCGGACCCTGAGCCCTGGACCCTGCCCTAGTATGGCCACCAGCTCTGCCCCACTGGGGCCATTTCCTCCTCGGCCTTATGTATGTCCAGGATGGGCGCACTTGCTCTCAGCAGGTCTTCCAGGCACCAGAAGTCCCTCCAGGTGCACGTCCCAGATGCAGGTGTCTCTCCGCTGGCTGTAGTGAGCCTGCCCGCCTGCATGTGGCTGTGGAAAGCACTCACACACGTGTGGCCTCACCAACGGGCCCCATGATGCCCCCCGTGTGAGACTCTGCCAGAGCATGGCAGGCTGAGCTGAGGGTCGGGAGGAGGTAGCCGGGAGGCCATGGGTGCCACGGTCCATCCTTGGACCTCACACCGAGGACGAGGGGGAGGAGGCACCCTCCTGCACCCACACTGATCCACACTGTCACCCTCCTGACACGTGCGGCCTCACAGCCCTGCCCCGCCAACTGCCCCGTCCCACTGCCCTGCCAACTGCCCTGCCCCGCCAACTGCCCCGCCAACTGCCTCTCTGAGTGAAGGAAGACCTGGACTTGGGTGGGCCAGGCCAAGGAGGGTGATGACCCTCCAGCTGGACCCAGGGCCCTCCTCGGAGGCTCAGGACAGCAGGCACTGTGGCGTGTACCCATACCACTTCTGAGGAGGGCTGGGTGCTCCTTCCCCTCAGCTGAAGTAAGGACTCGGGGAGATGGCCATGTGTGCCCAGTGGTGGGGTCTCTCCACCCATCCCCAGGCCGCACCAGCTCAGCTCTCCCTGGAAACTTCTGGGGGCAGCAGTGAGCTCCTCCCGGAGGCCTTGGCAAGGCGGAGCAGGCTGGTTTCTTTCCAGAAAGTTCTAAAGTTTCCTGCTCTGCCCTGGGCTCCCCTGCCAGGCGGCTGCAGGAGCACACGGAGGCGTGCCCAGGATGAGGGAGAGGCGTGATGTCACCAGCTGTTCCTGGTGAGGACGACTCCACTGGGTTCTACTGATGTCGGTTAAGGGAAGGGGGACACAACAGTGGGCTCCCACCCAAGTGTGGCTTTTTTAAAACACTGTTTTCATCGATTTCACTTTTTATCAGAGAAAATGGAGAGGTGCCCAGAGCAGACTGCTAATGGCATGAGACATCTGTCACCTTTTAACAAGTCTTGGACCCAAAGACAAAGCGTGTAGCAAGCTCTGCACGTGCAGCGTGCTGTGGGAACAGGGAGGTCTCCACCCTCCCTGCAACCTGCCACAGTGCCTCTGCACCCTCGGGAAGGAGCTCACCTCAGACACCTGGAGCACAGTGCTCCCGGGGACAGGACGAGGCTCTGGCCCTCCACTGGCCTCAGTCCCTCTGCTCGGGGTCATGACACCACAGCACGGCCCTCCCAGTCCTGGCCAGGGCGCCCCTTGCAGCCCAGGGGTTTCTATGGATTCAGAGCCCTGAGCAGCCTCTGTTCTCAACACAGCTGTGGACCCCCATGGTGCCTCTACGGGGGTACTAGTGCCTGTGCCTACCCACCCTACGAGCCTGGGGTGAGGCCACAGTCACACTAGCCCGGGGGCCCTGTTGCTGGGAGTTCAAGCAGCATTTCCCCAGCACACGCGGGAGTCTGCGTCTTTAAAGGAGCCTTCAGAGTGACAGGGTGGTGGAAGGAAGCCCCAGCAGACAGCTGGTCCAGTCACCACACGGAAGGGAGGGTGGCGGCCGTGAAGCAGGTTGTCCCTCCACATGGCACAGTGTGGTCTTTCCTGCAGGCCCTGGTGTTCACCAGCGCAGCTCTGGCAGGTGGATGTCACTTGGTGCACAGGTGGTGAGAGCCGGCCCAAGGACGGACCTGAAGTCTGGGGCAAGTCTCGATGGGGGCCGGCCACCACCCCCCAGCCCCTCTCACAGGCTGACCTTCCATCATAACCAACCAACAAGAGGTGGGGCCCACGTGTGGCCATGCGAGAAGGGTTGGCTGGGCTGAGGCTGGGCACAGAGTGACATGGGGCCAGGAGCCATAGAGCTACCTCTGTTTACCCCATTTCCCGCTGCACCTCCTGGGGTGCCAACAACAAGTCCTCTGCGCACCCTGCCCAGGCCGTGGTGTGGAGGTGGTCACATGGACACCCATGGAGGGCGCAGGGACCTGCCACTGACCCGGCTGGGAGGAGAGCTACACGTTGCTCACCTGCGTGAAGAAGTAGCCCCTGCCTGGGGCAGCAAGTCACCCAAGATCACATGTGACCCTCAGTTCTCAGTCAGCAAAAGGGGGAAAACTAGACCCTCACATGCTGACCCTCATGCAGGACGTGTCAAACACCAGCAGAGCTGACCATGGGACGCGGGCCCAGGCTCCAAGTCACTCCCCGCCAGGATGGCGCCTGGAAGTCTCCACTTAGCACTGCCAGTCACCAGCTCCACAGGACGGGGCGCACGCAGGAGACCCACTCTCGGGGCCTACACCGACTCCTCACACAACCCTGATCAGCCTCCAGAAGCTGCGTGCCTACAGGGGTCCTGGCCTGGGGACCTGCCTGGCCTTGGGAGAACCATGACTGGCAAGAGGGAGAGACTCGTCCTCTGGCTGGCTCGGCAGCTCTGGGGCACGGGAGCCCTCATAGGGGGTAGCCGTGTCTGACAGGAGCACAGGGAGGGCCCACACGGTCCCCCGGGGACACAAGGCACCATGTGTGTTCTCTAAATAATGAGCTCCGGAGGCGCAGGGTACCAGAGGTCATCTGGCATCTTAAAATTCCCCAGGGCGGCTGGGCTCGGTGGCTCAGCCTGTCATCCCAGCACTTTGGGAGGCTGAGGCAAGTGGATTGCCTGAGCCCATGGGTTCACGACCAGCCTGGGCAACTTGGAGAGACCTCATCTCTACAATAAATTTTTAAAAATTAGCTGGGCAAGGTAGTGTGCACCTGTGGTTCCAGCTACTTGGAAGGTTGAGATGCAAGGATCTCCAGAGCCCAGCAGGTTGACACTGGGGTGGCCGTGAGTGTGCCTGGGTGACAGAGTGAGACTCTGACTCAAAAAAATTCCCCAGGGACATATAGACGCGAGCCTCTGAGAGACCCTACGAGGTGGGTGCTGCCAGCCAGCTGTTGGAGCCGTGAACTTGGAGCCTCATGTCCTTGTGCCACTGCCCTGGATGCGCCGTATCCCCTCTGCCCAGATGCTCCCTGCCGAGCGAGGAGTGGTTTCCTGGGCCCCTGCTGGCCCGAGATACCACTATCCACAGTGACATTCCCGCCTCGGTATAACCAGCCACTCTGGCCTGAGATGTTTCCCAGGTAGAAGCCGCAACTTAACAGCGACGTCTCTTGTGCTTTGCTAGAAGGTTCCCTGGAGGCCTCAATAGGCACCACCAGGGAGGGGGCACCTGTCTGAGGTTTCTGCATCTGCCTGTCGTCTCCAGATTCAATTTAGCACCCCAGATGAGGCCAGGACCCCTGGCATGCCCCTCCATCCTTCAGCCCCTAGGCCGGCTGATTCTCGCAGGGCACACGCAAGCCTGTGCTGGGCCTGGCCGTGGGAACAGATGCTCCCCCCCATCAGCTACCGGGTGGGTTGGGCCCTGCCCAGCCTGCCTGGCCACCCCTCCTGCAGCTGCCCTGAGCCTCCGGAGCAGAGGCCTGCCTTCCCGTTGGAGTGTGCGGGGCAGCCCCCAGCAGGCCAGATACCGAGCCCCTGAATGGGAACAGTGAAGCACCCCTATACCAGGCCTTTCACTGGGGACTGGTGGGGTATAAGACACTGACTAGACCAACTGGGCCCTGCGTCTGCAGGTGACGGTGCCCTCTAAGCACACATCCGGGGCCTCCCCCACACCTCCTTCTTACAGCGCCCCCCAAGCTCAGGCCCAGCCATGGCCATGGCCCTGCCTCAGAAGCTCAGAAGTTCCACAGAGCAGTTCACGCGGGCCAGGGAAACTCGAGGCTGCGTGAGATCCTTGGGTCCCGTCCAAGGCAGGCTCGCCTGAAGGCACGTCGGAAGGGTGAGCCTTTTGGGATGGGCCTTGACGCTGGAAGGCATCCCTAGGACAGTCATGTTCCTTCATCTCCTGAACCAAATCTGTTCCCTGAGACTCGGCCCAAGGTCCCCTCGGCCCTCTGGAACAGAGCCGCCCCATGGGCTGTCTCGGCTGCTGGTTGCTGGCTCTGGA